GTCTGCTCCCTAGTATTGTTTAGTTATGCAGGAAAAAATATTGAGCATAAGATAGGTCTTGAATTTGAATTGGAATAGTTATCGCAGAAAGACTTTGTATGTGAAGACACATCAGTTTAGCCTTATTGAATTAAGGTAGGCACTTACATGCCACACCCTCTTCCCTGTGTCTGCCTCAGACACAGGGATGGTGATGCAATATTGCAGGGCAGTTACAGTATGCTGTGAATATGCTGTGAAGAATACAGTTTTTGCAAAATCAGGCTGAGGAAAGAAATACAGTCCCCAAATTGTCACATGTGGTAGGATTTGCTGTTAACATTTACAGAGGGTTTTTTTTCCCTTTTTTTTTTTAACTAATAGAGTGTAATTGTATACAGAGCCCATCTATGACATCTTGTAGAACAGAATCAAGTGCTTCCTGCTTTAGATACTTCTGAACTGTAGTATGTGTTACAGCATGAAAAATAACTTCCTTTTTTTTTTTTTTTTTTTTTTTTTTTTTTTTTTTTTTTTTTTTTTTTTTTTTTTCCCCCTGGTGTTGTTCCTAAGTAATTTTGTATCTGATCCTCCTGTATACCTGCCTGCCTTTTTACTGCAACATGATATGTCTGGAACTTTTTAAGGGGTAACTGTCTACCTGTGTTTATAGAAATTACTGGGCTGAATATTTGTTGGAAGATGATCCTGGTGCAGCTCAGTTTAGTGTGCTCTGTGCACAGTGAAAGGAAATTAGATATTACTAAAAAATAAAACCTGTTTTCCCTGTTATTTATTGTTTGCATAGAGTTGTCTGTATTTTCATATGAAGTTTTTATTTTGTTAGATTCTGTGGATTCTGCCTTCTTTCTTTTGAAACCTGTACTTCTGCTTTATCTCAGTTAGCTTTACTGTGCTCCAAGTATGGCAGGCTGCAGAAAGGCATGTTCAGTTTGGTATCTGAGAAGGCTAGTGTGGGACAGCTGCTTATTTTGAGTTCATACCATAGTTTATCATGCTATAGGTTCCGTGTGTGGGCATGCTAGGGTTCAGGTGTCCTATGTCAAGGAAGGTTCTGTCCATTGACTGACTACTGATACTGGCACTGAGGGTACAGAGCTAGTGAACAGAGAAAAGAGAAGGCTTTTGTCACAGAGCACCACTTCAGGTACAGTGCAAGAGTGTGCGCTACACAGCTTTGAACAGTGTTTCTCTATTGCCATCTCCATGCCTCTGTTGTAGGTGGCATTCGGCAGTGTCAGCAAGATAAGTTACTTGCTTGTTTTTAAAAAAGAAAGATATGGTGAAGTCCAATTTGGAAGTGGTCCGTGATCTTTTTTATGCAAGGGTTCTGATTTGTATGTAAAGAATGATTCTTTTCCTCTGTGTTTTCATTTCTATAATGGAAGTTGTGGTTCACTAGCTAGTTTGTGGCTTAACTTTCTTTCATTAGATTACCAAATATCAGTAATTTTTGCTATTGTTACTTATACCAGTTTATTTAATGTATTGCTGCATTTTCTTTTTCTGGTAGTGACATTTGATAAGTTCTTTTTAGTATAGCTTGAATTTTCAGAAATTTCTGTTAATAGTTCTCCAGCTTTTGCTTTCTGTCCTGCTTCCTCTTCTTCGAGCTCAAAAGATGGGAGAGATAAACATTCTATTTTGCTTTATAATTTGTTGATGGTCTGAATTTACGAAGAAATCTGTTTCCTGGGATGTTTTCTGTTTATATGACACAGAGTGAGTGGTCCAAACTCAGGTGTTTTTTTTAGGTTTAATTCTAGAATGAAATTTGGGGTTCTATCAGTTAGTCATTTTCTCTCTGAACTTTGTTGCTCGGCTTGCCTTTCTTTGCAAGACTGAAGTATCATAGCAGTATAGGCTTCAGTATTCAATGGTAACTTGATTCTCTAGAATATGGAGAATTCTGGTTGGCTAGAGTACAGGTTATTCACGGTTTTAAATTGATGAAGTTCTTTGCTGGATTTAAAAATGAATGCTGCAGTCATGGCATAGTTGCTTGCTAATATGATTTTTATGTGGTGGTTGTATATTTTTTGTAGGACACTGTTCCTTCTTAATTTTACATTATACAGTTGTTGGAAAGAAAATCTTTGATAGCTAGAAAGATAGATCTCCTGGGTTGATGTGTAATATTCTGGCATAGATAGGCAGGTGAAATAGTTAATGATAGTGATAAAGCAGAAGTCAAACAGCACTAGCTGAAGTTTTTGTATTGGAGTAGAAACAGGTCACTATAATATGATGGGTGTAATGATACTGTTTGTGTTTCCATAGTGCTGTTTGTATCTGCATCTGCCACATAGTATGTTGGATCTGGAGATCATCTGGATTGCCCACTAGCAATGACTCAGTTGGTGATCATGTTGTGTACAAGAGAATATGTATGATAGCATCAGAAACATTGCGTGTTAAGGTCTGGTTGTTCACTGCAGAGGTAGCCATGAAGAGGATGACTGATTCCATGATTATATAAATCCACTGGGATTTCCTTTCCTGGTGACTGGGAAGAGGGGTTGGTAGGGAGTGTCTTGAGGTGCAAGAACAAGAACAAAACTACCTGCAATTTCAGGCAGGCTGGGTGACTACAAGGTGGTGGAAATTGTAATTTTGTATGAAAAGGAGATTAACTGGACACATGACATTTTGGAAAAGGAAATCATCATGAGACTTGCCTCGATTTTGCAAAACTTTTTGTCTTGTTTTATAATATTCTGTTACAGTGTATTGCTCTGACTTTTGGTTATTATGCAGGAAAGAGAAGCCCTGATGTGCGTGAAATAACAAATAGTACATAGTTAAGGGCACTAAAGATAACTGTGTCTGGAAGGGTAGAAAAAAAAATTCATTAATCAAAAACACAGTGTATAGACACTGTGTTATGTAGTTGATGAATAATTTGTGTCATGAACTGACTTCTAAAAGTTTTGAAGTAGGCCAGTAGATACAGGAGCAGTGTATAATCAGGGATGTACTTTTCTGTGTCCAGTGTTGTCAGATTTGCAGGAGCAGGCATGCATTTGATACTGTGCCAGGCCTTTGTGATCTAACATCACCCAAGAGCTGTGAGAGGTACATCGATAGACTTCAGAATGGAAAAACCCTGGGCCCCAAAATGTCCTTTCAAAATGTAAATAGAAATTAAAAATATTTATTTTTAAGAAATATTCACAAGCTATTCTCTGAGACAGTTGTGTCTAATACACTTAATATTATGTGTGTTTGCTAAAGCGTGATTTTGGTAGTGGTGGGGGCAATATACCATATTTTCAGTAAAGCCTGGTAAAACCTTTTTCCTTTCTGTTTTCCTGTATATTGATGATTATGAGTACAAGAGGGGACAAAGGAAAGGTAGATTCCTTGGAAAAAATATTTTCAGAAATAGTAAGTACATGTAGTGGAAAAGCTGACTTTTCCATAGTGCTATAGATGTTGTCCTCAGCAGTTTAAGACTTCTTGTAATTGAGCAGCTGTGGTACAAAAACATGGTATCCCAAGAATTTTTATTATAAAATTAACCTAATTCTACTTCTAAAATTTCAAGAAAGCTCCCTACTTAAAATACACTGGGACCCCTTTTTAATCGGAACAAAGTGTGCTTTTTAATTACCTTCATTCTCAAGATAATATCCATTTGGGACTTCTATATCAGTAACACTGCAGTTTCTTAGGCATGGTATTATGTACTGTGTGTACACTTGTATATGTGTACACACACCCACACTCCATTCTTGTTTCTAAATATACGCACACTTTTTTCTGTTGCATTCATGAAACCTTCCTTCTGCCGCCAAAGGAACATTGGTGACTTAAATTTATTATTTATAATATTTTACAAAATATTTATTATTTATAATATTTTAAAGAAGCAGTCTTAAATTGTACCAATATCTGATGATATTGGCTATTCTTTCTGTATCTTCTTGTAAGTTCTTATTGACACCTGTTTAATAAGTATTTTCAACAATTCATTTAGCTTTTAGGGTTTGACATTCTTTGGCCTATATACATCTTGAAATGTTCTAATTTTTATAACTTCCAGGGCTCTGTAACAGGGTATTGTTTTTAAAAAACTCTTGTTTTCAAATATGATTGTACAGTTGAAAAACTTGAAAGACTCTGTATTACTTTAATGGCTGTAATGCATTAAGAATGCATTTTGAGTGGAGGTCTCTGAATTCAGTTAGTTCTGACATCAGCTTTTCTGAGCCCAGTGTGTATCATGCAAGCATGGTGACTTGGTTTCCAACTCCTTTATCCTTAGTGTTCTAATTTTTTTAACAGTCCACATGAATATTCAAATATGCCACATTATTCCAAATCCGTTGGTCTTGCCTTTTTCTTGAGATTATTGTGCTTTTGCTTAATGAAATAATCTTTATACAAGTGGAGAGAAAACTCCTCTTGAATGGGTACTTTGAAGAACCACAGTGGAAAACGCTAATGTGGGCAGTGTCCTTGAAATGGCAGGAACAGGAAGTGAAGTTCGTGTGGTAGAAGAGTTTGGAATGAAATCCGTAGCTTTTACAAGCAGTTATTTAGGGGAGGTGCTCAGAACCGTCCGTCTGTATCTGAAGAGGAGTTAGGCGTGACACGTGTAAGGCACGGACTGTGGTTCCCGGTGACGCGGGGGGACACGCGGAGGGAGCCGTACGCGGGCGAGCGGCAAGCGGGGCCCATGTGCTCCTCGGGGCGGGAGCGCGCCCGCCGG